ACACCATTTTGTTGAGGTGTATAGGGACAAGAAGTGTGGTGTAAAATCCCATGGCGAGATAAGTAAGTCTGAAAAGTGCTAGATAGATAGTCTTTAGCATTATCACTTCTCAGAATGCGTATATTCTTATTAAATTGAGTTTGAATTTCAGCATGAAAGGTACAAAATGCAGTAAACACATCTGATCGGGATTTCAAAGGATAAAGCCAAGTAACCCGTGAAAAATCATCCACAAATGTAACAAAATAACGATGACCAAGTTTGGAAACGACAGGACAAGGACCCCACACATCAGTGTGAACTAAATCAAAACTAGACTCAACACTTTTATTTATTCGAGGAGGGAAATTTGTTCTATGATGCTTAGCAAACTGACATGCTTCACACTCCAAAACAGACTCCCGTGATAGACTAGGACACATTTTTTGTAGTACAGAAAGAGACGGATGACCAAATTGACAGTGAACTTTCAACAGAGACGAACTTGTGCATGCAACTGATCTCGGCATCAAGGATTCAAAAACATATAAGCCATTAACCAGTCTACCTTTACCAATAATCTGCTTCGTCCCAAGATCCTGAAAAAGACAATGAGTGGGAAAGAAAATAACACAGCAATTTAGGGCTTTAGTAATCTGACTGACTGAGATTAAATTAAACGGAAATTGAGATAAATATAGAACAGAAGATAGAGAAAGGTTTGGAGAAAGAGTTGTTGTTCCAAGGCCATTGACAGATGCGGTTGATCCATTTGCTAAAGTAACATGAGACTGGTTAGCAGAAGAGGTAAATGAATCCAAAATACTTTCATTACCAGTCATATGGTCCGTTGCGCCAGAATCGATCACCCAATTGCGTGATGATGTAGAGAGGCATGCAGCTGGATTACCTGTATCAACTTGTGTGGTGGCAGATGAGGCTGTGAGAGAAAGTTGTTGTAGCCGAGCATATTCATCGACTGAGATAGTAAAAGTGGAAGGAGTTGGTAGGATACCATCTTGGATAACCGTATTAGCAACACGCCTGGGAGGAAACTGTCCAGAAGTCTGTGGTGGACGACCATGTAATTTCCAGCAATTCTTCTTCACATGACCCTCAGCTCCACAGTGATAACATGTGCGAGAAGAATTACGAGTCCCTTCAGTAGTGACTGAATTGGTCCTTTTACCATGGCTCACATCACTGACTAAGGCAACAGTATCAATTGAGTTCATCATTCTGGATTCTCCATCTTTGCACACTGGAAGGAGACGTCCATAGAGGTCAGAAAAACTAGGAAGGGTCCCACCAGACAGTATTTGACTCCTTGATACCTCATATTGTGGACCAAGCCCAGCCAAAACACCATGAACAAATGTTCGCTCCTCTTGTTCTTGCATACTCTTAACATCAGCAGTAATAGGGAATCGGGACCGCTTTTCCTCAAAAATCTGTTTACATTCATTATAGTATTGAAACAGCGTCTGATCCCTCATCTCCGGTCTATAGTAGTGCACCAGTAATTGATGAACATAAGAGAGATCTTGTTTACTGGCATACATAGACTCCAAGTATTCCCACATTTCTTTGACAGTATCACAATGAGTAATGATACTATCAATAGAAGGATCCAGGGTATTCTGAATTTGATTGAACAACCTATCATCCGCCATCATCCATTTTTTTTCTTTCATCAGGATTACTTCTTGGAGGAGCCATTTCAGTTAGATGATCTCCCAGATCAAGACTATTAACGTATCTAGTAATAGTCCGTTTCCACTGCCCGTAATCTTTACTACCAGTCAGTTTTCTCTCGGTAATTCTAGCATTACCGACAGTAATCTCAGTCACACTCTTCTTATCATCACCCATGCTTGCAAACAACTAGGGCAAGAGTGATAACAAGAACAGGGTAAGAGAACTGGTGCAAATAGTAAAGATAGTGTCCAGAAAATCAGACCTGCGACAATTGTTCTGCACTATCCGGATTACCACGCCTGCGCCTGCGAACAACGTCCTGTGCCGCACAAAAGAGAGCTGAATCGAACCAGAGGGAGGGAGCAGAGTTGAACTTCGGGAAGTACTACCCGAAGAACCTGTGTGTCTCTGATACCATGTAAACTGAGTAATAAGAATTAAAGATGCAATGAAATCACACTTCATTATCATTAGGTATGGCCAGTATAAATACATACAAGCTAGGGAATACAAAAAGGAAACTAAATCTGTCAGATTTACCTAGAATATTTAGTCTATCGCAGAGAATATATTAGCTACCATATATATACATAGAATATATTGACTATTAAATATGTATATTCTAACACATTGTTAGTGACAGAGATCGAATCTTTCTGAGTACTTTTTGGTCTGAAATATTCAAACTGGCTGGAACCCAACTCAAATACAGCACTGCATATCACCCCCAGACTGATGGCCAGACTGAAGTGGTCAACAGATGCTTGGAGACTTATTTGAGGTGCCTGACAGGGAGTAAGCCTAAGCAGTGGGTTAAATGGTTGGCATGGGCTGAATTCTGGTACAATACAAATTACCACAATTCATTGAAAATGACACCTTATAAGGCTCTATATGGGCAGGAACCCCCTACTGTGGTAAGAGGGGATGTCACTTTGACTGCGGTGGAGGAAGTGTCTAAGCTAACTGCTCAAAGAAATATGATACTTAAAGAGTTGAAGGAAAATCTGGAAAAAGCCCAAAATCAGATGAGACAACAAGCTAACAAGCATAGAAGGGAGGTGATTCTGAATGTGGGGGATCAAGTTTATTTGAAGATTCAGCCATATAAACTTAAGAGTTTAGCCAAAAGAATCAATCAGAAACTCAATCCTAGGTACTATGGTCCATTTGAGATAATGGAGAAACTCAGTTCTGTAGCCTTCAAGCTTAAACTCCCAGAAGATAGTAAAGTGCATCCAGTGTTTCACATTTCCCTACTAAAGAAGGCCCTATCCCCTACAACTGTTTTTCAGCCTCTACCTAACTGCCTCAGTGAAGAATGGGAACTACAAGTCAGTCCAGAGGAGGTTTTGGACTCAAGGATGAACAAAGAAGGCAAGATAGAGGTCCTAGTGCACTGGAAGGGCCTACCACAGTTTGAAGACTCTTGGGAACCATTACAAGCTCTAGCAGATCAATTTCCAGGTCTTCACCTTGAGGACAAGGTGAAATTTCAGGGGGGGGAGTAATGATAGGCAGGCGTCCCAGCCTATTAAATATTTTGATAAGGTGTACAAAAGGAGGAATAAGTAATCAGTTGGGATTCTTATAAGGGGTAAGTTAGGCGGGTATGCCTTAAGTGAGAGGTGACTATAAATAGAAGGTAGAAGAGTGGAGTAAGGGAGCTGAGAATTCTGTTGGCTAGTAGTTGGAGATTGGGCATCTCGAATGGTCCCTAAGCTTGTATACTTCTGTGGATTTCTTCCGTATTCAATAAACAAAATCTGTGCACTGTTCTACTTTGATTGGGTGTATTCTATTGTTCTGAATTGATCGCCAGTGTCTATCAAGTTCCATTTACAAGCAGATTGAGAATAGGAGTCTACCTCATATGCCATATGAGATGAGGATTAAAAGTCACACATGTGCATGGAATGGGAAAAAAGTCCTCCAAAATAGGGAATAAATTCCTTCAAATATATAATAAATCCAGTTGGTTTGACAAGAGATAAGGTGTTTGTTTAGTGGAAGTTGCTAATAATAAGATGAAGAAGATATACACTGCTTAGGCATGTAAAAAAACGGCCCGCAAGGACCCGACTGGGCCCGAGACATTTGGGGCAGGCACGCCCCACCCCACCTTGTATGTCATTGCTCCATCCAATTTATCCTCTAGGTAGCTTTCTTCAACATAATAAAAAATACTTCCTCTATCATAAAAGAAGAGTTGCACTAGTAATATTGATTTCAATATTACAGACATGATTAATTTTACGTAGAAAGTTAAATAAATAGGTTCATCTATTTTATCAAATTTGGAAGTTGGCACAGCCATTATTTAAGACCTCCCCCTCCCGAGAAGAGGCAGATAAGAGGCTTAATAGCAGACAATTGTTCTGAGCAGATGCAAAAATTTCCTGCATTTGATACCTTCAGCTTCCGTAGTTGTTGTACAAGCATGAAAAAGAGGACATGGTTAGACTTCTCTTTACTTATTATGTCTCCCACCCGACCCAAGTCGTCAAGTGCCACATGTAAGTTCATACAATTCATACTCAGAGTAGCATTTGTATCAGGTTGAACACTTGAACTAATAGTGTCTTGTCAGGCCAACTTCGACTTTGGCCATAAAATTACTTGAACCGTTCAATTCCTTTTTTGGAATTTTATAATTCCGGGACATGAAAGATGAAAGACCTAAAATATACTCCATAATAGATTCTGAATAACTGTATTAATAACCTCAGCAATAAATTCTGATTTTTTAACTTTTTATTGAAAACTAGTAATCAAAGACCTAAAATATAATAGATTCTGAGTTATTTAACTTTTTATTTATTTATTGCTAATTTTTTATGATTTTTGTCAGAAAAGGGAATTAGTTTAAACAAAGTAAATAAAAAATTCATGATATTTTAAGTCTTAGATTTATAGTTTTCAATCATTCAAGTCTTGTATCGACAATTTTCATGTCCTTGATTGGTAGTTAACCAATCTTTTAGGTCCTAGATTGATATAATTCATTTTTACTCATTAGAATTAAGTATAAATTTTAACTGTTACATCCTGTGAACAGTTCATTTTCATTGAAAACAAATAATTGAAACTGGATTTCTACTGATGAGCATATTTACAGAGCTAGGTCATTTCTAATAGAAAGTGGGTTTCTAGCGTCTAGCTTTAAGGAACTTGATACTAATAAGCTAAAATTCTGAACGGTTGTGGCCAAAACAGAAGTTGATCAAATGGGGTCCTTGTCAAGCTCTGTAAACTTTATGCTATGTGTATACAGATTCCTTAGTATGAAGCATCCATAACCAAAAAAGAAAAAAGAAACTCACTTCAATTCTGGACATGCCATTCCCCAAGAAAGCACATGCGTTTTTTACATGAGCTATGAAGTAAGTATCACATAACCCGCAATGGCTGCCAATCCAGCATAAAGTTGTACCAATGGGAGGGAAAAAGTCATCCAATAATGAAAATCTAGAACAAACTGAAATTACAAAATTGAAAAAGAAAAGACAACTTCTATGATGGGAAAGGATGAACCTGCAATGGTCCTTAGCAGGGTAGGTTCCACCAGGAGGGATGGGTCTGGATTTCTCCCTCCAATCATCTCTAAGCTTCAATGCCTTTGTCTTGGATGAGTTAGCATCTGTTTACGGTCAGTTCACAAGAAAACGATACTGTGTTTTTAAGGAAGTGTGATTGACGACATGTATGAATGAATATGAAGCATGTATTAGGGAAAGGGACCTTTAGAAGAAGCAAAGACAGCAGGGAAGGTGAAAGGCAAAGGAGAGAACTTTACTACACTCAGCACAACCATGGTCTTCTGGAATTGTTTATTGCCACATAAATGATAAAGAAAATGATACTCCGTATTTGAAGGTTGTAAGTTGTAAATGTCTATACCAAAGCCATGGCTGGCAGCCATTGTTTTTTGGAAAATTAGTCAAATAAAGTCTTCTAGTACTATGGTATTATGTAATCTTCACATAAGATTAAGATTATGATTAAGATTGTGTATTCAATAAAGTGTCATATAAATACATTTATTTATAAAAAGCAATCGAATGAGTCAAAACGACCCGTCGACAACCTCATATTCTCGATTTTAGCTAACGCGTCGTTATTTTTTCCTTGTATTAAAGTCAATCCTGACCAAATATTTCACGTTAGCCTATCAAATATTTCACGTTTTTGTAGTCCAATTATCGGGACTTACTCTCTCATGCTACCTTCATCCCGAAAAGGTTTGCCATATTGACTTTTCTTGATCAATAATGTGAAACTTTGAACAATGATTTTAAATATTATATTTGTATATAATTTATAAAGTTTATACTCTTATGAAAATATTTTAAATAAAGAACATTTTAACACAATTTTCATATTCAAAATATTTCATATTAAAAATATCATTGATCTAGTTGATTGTCTTTGACCAAGAAAAATCAATTTAACGAATTTCTTCGAAACTAATAATGGAATGTGAATTAAACTCTAAAGTCTCTAGAGAAGTTAAACGACTACATTCATTATTATCATCTCCTTCCTCGATGAATGAGTAGGGAAACCAATTTTGATCACCCTCTTGAAGAAGGATGATGTTCACTCATCCCTAGTTGTCTGGCATGTGACAGGCCAACTCTTTATTATTTATCAGTTGTTTTAATTTTTTCATTTTAATTCAATTATTAAAAAAAAAATCATTATTTTAATATTTTACGATATTTCATATGGTACCAATATTGTATATGGGAAAAAATCAAGTTAAAAATAGATATTTAGAAAAACAGATTTTTTGTCTTTTTTTATATACAATATTAATACCGTTGGAAGATCACAAAAAATATTGAATCGGTATATTTTTTAAAAAATTGGATCACAAACAAAAAAGTTATAATGATTTAAGAGAATGAAATGTGATGTCACGTGCAGCAAGGGAGAAGTGAGTGATGTTCATCATCCTTAAGGAAGACATCCTTCATCTCTCTTACGTGGAAATTGATTCAAGACCTCCCCAATAAAACTTGGGGGATTCGTGGTCACCTAGTGAGCCACACCAACCTTTCCATAAAACCTTTTATTTTTTATATATGAAAAATATATATTTCAAAAATATATAAATTTTTGCAGGAACAATTAAATTTATCACAACATTGATTTATTTGCAAGTTTGTAGAAATTTGATCCTTTTAATACTTTTGAATCCTCCCAACCTCATTTACACGCCTTTTGAGGTTTTAATAGACCTAAACTCGTGAAATGTTTTTCAATGATTTCTAGTCCCGGTCTGAATGGGTCCTAGTCCCGAAAGGGCCGGTCTTTCAAAAAAAAAAAGAGGACCGGGACTGAGACCATGACCTCTATTTTCGGTTCCCGGTCAGTTCCAGTCCCCAATCGGTCCTTAGTTTTTTATTTTTTTAGTACTTTTTAATCCTCCTCATCCCATCTACCCCTCTTTTAAGCTTTTAATTGGACCCTCAACTCTCATGAAATGTTTTCCAATGATTTAATAGAGAGAAAAACCAAAAAAGAATAATTGAAACCGGTTCCGGTCTTGAAAAAAGAGGCCCAAGACCGGGACCTCTTTTCCCATCAGTCCGGTTCCGATCTCTGACCAGAACTTTATTTCCGGTCCCGGACCCGGTTCAAAATCGGGCGGTTCTGGTCAAGTATCGGTTTCGGGGGTCGGGTCCATGACATTATGTTAATTAGATAATTTTTGGGATTAATATTATTCGACTCTTGAGAAAGCAATGAAATTTTGTTATCAATTTATGCCTGACAAATAAGAGGAAATATATCACATGTGATCACTTTTTCAATTGGTAGATCACATCATCACAATGTCAAAATACGTAGTATAAATTAGGGGTGGATTCGGTTCGGGCCACCCGGTCCGTGACCCGGCCCGGCCCGCTACTGTGCGGGCCCAGGACCGGCCTGGTCTGGCGATCCGGGACCGGGTGTAGACCCGAACCGGTGGGGATGGGCGGGACGGGCACGGTTCCGGAAAAAGGTGACCCGGCCCGGCCAGGTCGGGCCCGGGTCCAACGGTCCATTTTTTTTTTTGCCCAAACTAGCCGTTATGGCCTTGGGGGGTGGGCTGGGGACAACCCAAACGGCTATATAGCCGCTAGTATTTCATGTTTTAATTTTACCTTCAATTCTCAATTGTAGTTCCTATTTAATTTTCAAATGTAGTTTCTATTTCATTTCAAATAAATGCACTTGAAGTTTGTTTTTAATACTTGTATAAAACTATAAAGTATAAAATATAAATTATAAAAACAAAAAAAAAATCTTTAACTGGCCCGGCCCAGCCCGGCGGGTGGCCCGACCCGTGACCCAGGCAGGTGGCCCGGCCCGAACCGGACCCGTCCAACCCTCGGGCCGGTCCCGGGCCCATATGATACAAACCGGCGGCCTGACCGGGCCTAGGCCCGGCCCGAGTCCATGACTAATATAAATAGGTAATAAATTGAGAAAAGTTATAAAGGTTAATGTTGTTAAAATGTCAACGGTCGTAATTACCCCACAATCCCACATAGGCACATACCACATAGAAAGTAATTCGTGTATTTTGAGGTGTAGTCTGCACTTCAAGTTTCGGTAGAAATTTTAACCATAATCTTTTTCTATTAAACCAAAGTACCAAACTCTTTTTCTGTACTGTCGGGTTTAGGTTAACTTGAATATGTAAGGTAAAAATGGAATAAAATCATTTCATGATTTACACAATTCCTAAAATGCCACGCGCATCTGTGTACTTCTTTCATTTTCTATGCTAAGCAATGCCCTATAAGCATACAAGTATTTGGCAGAACAGCAAAGACACATTACTCCTGCAAATGATAAGACGAATGGATTTTCTTTCACTTGAGATTCATAAGTATATATTGTTGTCTATAGTACATTTTAACACATAATGATCTGCATTCACTCTCACTCTCTCAGGCTGGCTCTTTTGATTCGAACCCCATATCTCACATTCCCATGACTTTGTAGTTCCACATGATAAAATGCACACCTGAGGTGAGACCTTTATTGCCACTCCCATCTTCCAATGCATAATCTTCTGAAAGAATTTCTTATAGGAAAAAAAGAATGGTCTGTATGTGTCGCCGCAAAATTACAAACTTTTGCCTACCAAAAATTACAAGGATGAGATATATTAGGGAGAAGTCTGTCTTTTATGGCAACTTCTAAAGAAGCTTGCTGGTTCTTCGCCTAGATGGCCCTCCCGGAAATAGCTTCATGATCCACCCTAATACTCTTTCAACCACCTGATTAAAGAGGATTTTACAAATCAAATTGACAGTCTTGTAGCACACCAAACAAGTAAGAAAGCATTGGTGTTACAAGATGATGGCGGTTTTGTGATTTCATCTCAACATTCCTTCTAAAGAAGGTTGCAGCATGAAGGGCATCTGACATAAAACTTTGTCATCATGCTTTTACCATGGAATTATAGTATAAACTGAATCTAAGTGTTTAGTGTGCATTTTTCCTGGTGTCAGCAAGATTTTCATCAAACTTGACTGATTGCAGTGGAAAAGTAACCCTTGGTGAAAAATGAATTCCATTCTTCATTTTGAAAAATGAATTTTTTAATTTAATTAAAATTAATTTATAATTCAACCGATCTAGCTACATTTTTTTGAAGGAATCTAGCCACAATTTCAGTAGAGCATTTAAGCATATTCATTCACTTCAACTATTTTAGGCCTTGCCAAAAAGGCTCTAAATCCGTGCCACTTGACCCCCATTTATTGTGATTTAAGGTAGTGATGAAGATGGAAATGGCTTGTACAATGGTGAAGGTTGAGAAAAGCCAATTATGTCTATAGTACCTCATCACCCTCATCTGCATAGGTCGTAGGATTCTCATGGAAAGCCCTATCAGGCTGTCTTAAAGGAACATTATCAGTTGCCATGCTCTGAGCAGTCAAGAGCTCCAACCTTTGTGTTTGAGCTTCAAGCTTTCTTGTTAGCTCCTTGTTTAACTCCTTCAACCGGAAAAAATAAAACATAAAAAACCGACAAGATTATGCTGATAATTAAGCTACAAAAATAACTACATGACATAATGGTTTAGAATTACCTTAAGTTTAGAGCATTCGGATGATTCTGCAGAAAAGGCTTTCATCAACTCTACTTTCTCCAATGCCAACTGTAAAGACAGGATGACGAAAAATTGACAAGCACATTCTTTAGGCCATCTATTAGTAGCAAGTGGTCAACTTAAAAGAGTAGGAACGCAAAAAAATACTTGGCTAAAGATAGAGAAAGAATATAACAAAACAGAAATGATGGGAAAAAACCTCGGAGACTAATATGTTAATGTTTTGGATCATTCTTATCTGATCAGGAGGAATGGACACTGCTGAACCTTCAAAACTGAGTTGTCCGCCATCAAAAATAAAAGGAAAGTTGGGGGCCTCAGCACTAAAAGCAGCAGCCTGACCTCCCATGTTTGGATCATCCATGACAGTAGTCACACCTTCACAGTTATCTGAAATCAATAATCAAACCATCAGAAATTAAGGTTCAGTTATTAAATAGTACTCCCTTTGTCCCATAAAATAGTTCTCACAAGAATTTGGATCGGAGTTTAAGAAAGTAGGAATAAAGTGGAAATGTATGGCTGTGGTTAAGTAAGAAAAAGGTAAATCAATGGTAGCCACACATAACTTTCCAAAAAGGGAAATGAAAACTATTTTTTGGGACGGCCCAAAAAGGAAACTGGGAACTATTTTGCGGGACCGAGGGAGTAACAAAACATTTTTAGCATAACATTTTAGCTTACCAAGATCCTGTGTTGAAGTTGACACATCTATTTTATTAGGTGAACTCCTGGTAGTATCACCAAACTTGCCACTAGCAGAAGCTTTACGTAGTTTTGACAGCAAC